GTCAGCTTCTTGGTGGCATAATGACTGGAATGGCGCTTGGAATTCTAACCATCACCTCCATCACCATCACGGATACTTCCCATGGTATCACTATGAACATTTTCCGTACTACCGACATCACTATAACCACTATTACTCGACAGACTTTTGGCCATGGAAATGGAATTGAAGTAGAAGAAGTGATCAACCATCACGGAAATGGTTACGATAAAATCGTTTTCCTCATTCATTCACTGGCTTTTCTCAGACCCTCCATCACTTTGCTTTATTTTAAAGTGAAATTTGTTTAATCCAGAAATAAATGCCTTACTGATATCAAAGGTCTCATTCATGTTGATGAAACATCGAAATATGTAGTACAGCAGTGGTCTATAGTTGGTTTCTTGAGTTCTCGAGCTTTTGAAAATAGCCAATGGTATTTATACAAAAGCTTACTTCATACACGAGGAAGAGTGCAATAAACTAAGCCGAAATAATAAAACTGAAAACGAAAGCTGATCACGAGGTCGTCAACCATTAGTAACTCACTGCCGTGAACAGACACTGCACAGTTCATTCTGAAAAGCTAACACAATACAATAAAATGAGATAAAGATACACACGTAGGCTTCATTGAATCGCATATTATATTCATTGTATACAAATTTAAATAATTAATTACCACTGTGTCACGTAAGTCTTTTCCAATCCATTTATCAAACAAATGTTGTCTGTGAGAAAGCACAAGTTGCTTCCAATCAAACAATCAGTATGCATAGATCAATCGCTGGATTCTTCTCTTAACTTCAACCCCTAATGACTTTTAGGGGTTGTAGATTCTCTTATCTACAACCCCTAATGCATTTTGCTGTGTAATTACTTCTGAAGTGTGTTACCACTCATTCTCAAAACATTTACCGTAGGCACTGATTAACCAACCTCGGTTTCTACCGTAGTAATGCAAACATCTGACTTTTGAGTTTATTCTGAGGTCATTTTATTATAGAATCTTTAATTTTTTCTGAAGTTTTTAATTTTGTCACCAGCGAAATTGATTTCAATTTCACATTACGTTCGGTTCTGCGATATCACAATTTTCGTAATTCACTAATTAGAAACAAATTACAAGAAATGAAAGCTTTTTCTTGCTCAAAGAAGCATGAACGATTGATGCAATTAAATCGAATTCTGTAGCTGATTCGTTGTAAAGAGTTTTATGAAACATCAAAAATTTATGTGTTGATTAATAAATAATAAACAAGCTATTATAATTTTGTTGAATATAATTGTTTTATAAAGATTTCCTTACAAAAGTGGATGGCCGTAAAAGATTTTTTCTAAACCATGCCTTACCACATGCTGTAGCAGTAAATAATAGCTGTGGTGATAACAAGATGGAATTGTAAGAAGTGAAAGTACTGAGATGATCTGAAAGTGGAAAGCAGTAATCGTAAATGCCGATGTTCTGTAAGAGTGATTTAATGAGTAGTAATACGTAATAAGAGACGTATGGGAGTGTAAGTAGTAGTTAATAGAAAGTAGTAACTAGTAAGCTATATTTAAATGGCGAAGAGAGGTAGTAAATAGATGCGAATTATTTGCATGATGCGCATTTTCTTGATATCTTTCTGAAGACTGAGATAATTTAATTGATTTCACATTTATTTGTTGGCTTCCAGTTTTGGAAAAAATTGATCCATGGATTTCAAATCATAATATTGGGAGAAAAAAATTATATCGAAGTGAAGAATATTTGTAAACACGGAAGACAACATCATGGAAATAAGTTGTTTTTATATATTTTCTAAATATTTACAAAAGCGTTGGTGAATTTTCTCCGAGTTAAGATTTTCTTCATTGTTTTTTTTCGTCTGCAGTAAAATTTTTCAAAACTATGTGATTACAGAGAGATCCCGTTTTCTTAAGATGTATATCAAACCATATGCAGTTATTTGCATCTGTGCTCTTTTCCATTCGACAGAAATTATTGAGCGAGGCACTTACAGAATGATGAACATCAAAAGGCTTTGTAAACTTTGTCACAGATTTACCTCAACACTTGCTCCAGCGTGTACACAATGATACCCAAATCACTGACGTCTTCGTGATATCATTACTAAGATAGTTTGAAGCCTTACTGAGCTGTTACATCTCAGTTTATGTATTTTCTATGAACGCCATTGATTCTGCCATCTCTTTGCACCAGTCTATTCCTTTATTAAAATAATGAAAAAATAATTTTAAAAACATTGCTTCACGTTGTCATAAACGTTACTGTTCACATCGATAAACCCACGAATCCAAAATTTTTGTTGTTTTCGGTGTTTCATTATCTAATGACAGTATTAGTGACATGTTAGCTCCTCACTTCTTCCCATACAATCTTGTGAACTGCTGCAATATTTTGTACATGGCAAAACTTTTGGTCCCTTACTGCAATACGGCGAAAAAAATCTGAATCGACCAACGTCACTTGCAAGAAAAGGTAGACAGAGAAGCTCGTGCATAGAACTGACACATTCCCCCCCATGTGCGTAGTCTCTTTCATGTGTGTAGTCCTCATGTGTAGTCCCTCGCACGTTTATGTGGGACCTCATGTGCATGCGTAATCAGTTGGAAGCTTATATCGTGTCTCGAACTAGTGTAGTCCGTCAAATGTGTGTACTCCCTCTTGTTAGTCGCACGTGTGTGTCATCTCTCAGATGTGCGCTCTCGCGTGTGTGTGATTGCTTTAATCTCGCACATGATATGCATACACACGGGGTACTGCACACACTTGCGAAGAACTACACACTCATGAGAGGGA